TAACATCAATCAAACGTTGATCTAATAACCACTTTTAAAACAATATTTTTTGTATTCTCTAATAGGGCTTCCTCACCCCGCATAGGGCTCTGTGCCTATTAGGGCCTTTTTTATGGTTAATCTCTATGTATAATATCTTTTGGCTTTCAGGCCTGTTGACAATTTATGGTTTGCACCTGGTGCAACTTTAAGCAACTTCAGTAGCGGACCCTGTCTTTTTTGTGGTTAATCTATTTTCTTTCTATTAGGTGTCATCTCCAAGGGAACTAGATAGGATTACATTTTCACAGAACAGAAATGCAAAGGATTGCAAAAACAGCAGATATGGCACAAAGCACGCTCTTAGTCTAAAAGCTAATTACCTGCAAGAAGTCACCAGCTAATCTCTATCTAAACTATTTTTTTATTAGGCACATTTGTGGCTATAATATTTGTGGAGCTTTTCTCACCCTGCGGAGGGACCTATGCTTAATAGTTTCTTTTGTTAGCGTACTGTGCTTAGGATGTTTAGAACAATCATGAGCATTTTGTGCAATGAGATCACACATTTATCAAACAAGCCAGAATGCCAGCAAAATGTTTGAATGGAAGCATTTCCTTCATCTCTGGCCCCTTCATATGGTACCAGTGTCCATGAGATTTATTAATTAGGGTTTTAGGTTGGTCCTCATTCAGTGAAAGAGGAGCAGGAGAGCTCTCGGCAGGCAACACAAGAATCCGCAGCAGGGCAAACGAGCAACAGCAGAAAAGAGGGGAGGATACAGGGTGGGGTAGAAGCCGAGGTCAACCTGGAGGGTCTCTTATCCTAGATGGCCTTGGCTGTCAGGTTTTTTCCTCGTGACCTCGTCATGGATGGGGTCCTGGACGGCCTTGCCTGCCCGGTATTTTCTTCATGACCTCGTCACGGGCGGGACCTCCCATAACGGCTCCCAACACCTCACCTAACCTCACCCCAGGCCTTTGCAGGTGGTAAGTTCTTACTTTCTGTACAAACACTAGGAACCATGGAGTCTGCCCAAGATATCACTTAGGTGAAGAATTTTAATCTCATAGGGGTGGCAGAGCCTGTGACTGTTCTGTTCTGCTGGGGAGGTGGCTGGGGCATTGAAGCTTCCAGCAGGTGGGCAGGCTTAGGGGGCCCAGAGTACAAGCAGAGCTGTGGGTGGTCACTGCCAAAATCAGGGCATTCACAAGTGAAGGCACCAACTGACCTGTACTGGAATTTGGTTGCAGCTTTGTTCACAAATGAGCTGGTGGTTAGTCTCAGGAGATTCATTTAAGTATAAGAAAGAAGAAAATACTGGGCAGACTTGTAAGTATAGCCACAGATTTATAGTAGAGGAAACAAGGTGTTTGAGAAATAGGAATTGGGATGAGAGGTAGAGTGAGGAAGGTGACAAGAGGTAGGTTTAGACAGACTGATAAAGGATAGAGATTAAACCACCAGGAATTCAGGTTGGCGGGTCACGGAGCCACAGCAGGGGAAGGCTGGGGAAGTCAAGCACATCAGCTGCAAAGTTCACATTCAGCCGTTTACTGAGAACCTATAATGTATGAAATCTTTACTATTTCACGTCTGAGTTTTTCGTTTAATAATTTTACCCGTTATTTGTTTTTGGCTGTGCTGGGTCCTTGTTGCTACACTGGCTTTTCTCCCAGCAGACAGGAGTTGCGGAGCTCAGGCTCGAGGGCACCAAACTTCAGTAGTTGCGGCACGTGGGCTCAGCAGTTGGGGTTCCCAGGCTCTGGAGCACAGGCGCGATAGTTATGGCCAACGGGCTGAGTTGCTGCACAGCGTGTGGGATCTTCCTGGATCAGGGATCCAACTCGGGCGTCCCGCATTGGTGAGGGGATTCTTGACCACTGAGCCATCAGAGAAGCCCCTCATGTCTTAGTTTATCAACAGATAAGTATGAGGCTGATGTTTTTTAATTTTACTGAAGTATAGTTGATTTATCATGTCGTGTTAATTTCTGCTGTGCAGCAAAGTGATTCAGATATATATACATTTACACACACACACACATACACACATGTTCTTTTTCATATTCTTTTTCACTCTGGTTTCTTAACAGGATATTGAATATAGTTCCCTCTACGATACAGTAGGACTTTATTGTTCATCCATCCTGTATAATAGTTTGCATCTGCTAACCCGAGATTCCCAGTCCATCCCTCTCGCATCTCCTCTTCCCCTTAGCAACCGCAAGTCTCTTATCTATGTTTGTGAGTCTGTTTCTGTTTCACAGAGAAGTTCACTTGTGTCATATTTTAGATTCCACATATAAGTGATACATATGCTATTTGTCTTTCTCTTTCTGACTTACTTCATTTAATATGATAGTATCTAGGTCCATTTATGTTGGGGCAAATGGCATTATTTCATTCTTTCTATGGCTGAGTAGTATTGCATTGTATATATATACCACATCTTTATCCATCCCTCTGTTGATGGACATTTAGGTTGCTTCTACATCTTGGCTATTGTAAATAGTGCCACTATGAACATAGGGGTGTATGTATCTTTTCTAATTATAGTTTTGTCTGGGTATATGTCCAGGAGTGGGATTGCTGGATCATATGCCAACTCTTTAGTTTTGGGGGGAACCTCCATACTGTTTTCCATAATGGCTGTGCCAATTTACATTCCCTGTGAGGTTGGTATTGATACTCTGATCTTACTGTTAAGGAAACTAAGATCTGAGATATTAAGTGATAAAGCCAGTCGAAACCCAGATCTGTCTGATTCCAAGTACAGACCCCAAGTATTCTTCCTACTACTCCATACCAAAGCAGGATGCACAAGGTAACAGTGCTATCGTTTTAGAAACTGACCCAGTCTTCCCTGAGTGGACTGTTGCTCCATTGGAAACCCAAGAGTGTTTAAATTTGGTTTCTTTAAAAATGAAAGTAATACTTTTCTGGTGGTCCAGTGGTCCTGCCAAATGCAGGGGATGTGGGTTCGATTCCTGTTCCAGGAAGATTCCACATGCTGTGGGGCAACTAAGCTCCTGTGCCACGACTACAGAGCCTGCCCTCTAGAGCCTGTGAGCTGCAGCTACAGAGCCTGAGTGCCTAGAGCCTGTGCTCCACAAGAGAAGCCAGTGCAGTGAGAAGCCCGAGCATCACAACTGGAAAGTAGCCCCTGCTGACTGCAACTAGAGAAAGCCCGCACGCAGAAACAGAGACCCAGTGCAGCCAAATAAATAAGTTTAAAAATTTTTTTAATAGAAAACAGCACAGAACATAAAAATAAAAGTAATTTATGCATATGGTAAAAATATCAAGCAGTGATGAAAGGTGTGAGACAAAACTCTTTCTCTCTACTATCATCTCCATTATTATTTCCTTTTCAAACCTACTTCCCAGAAGTCACAACTCCCAACGGTGTTTTCAATGCTTACTCTGCAGAATATTTTTGTGGTCCACAGTGACATTTAATGCATCAGACGGTCAGGAGATTCAAAACCATGACATGTGAGAAAGAATTGAAGGAACTAGAAAGGTTTACTCCACAGAAGAGCCTGAGACGCAAAAGTGCTGTCTTCAAATGTCTGGAGGACAGTCATGTGGGAGAGTCCTGTTCCCTGTAGCCCGAGAGGTCACAGTTGGAACCTGTGGTATGGATACTATGGGAGAGGAAGGTTTTAGCTCAGCAAAAGGAAGAACACAGAGCTATTTCAATAAGGGTAAAAATGTACCTCCTACAGGAAGAATTCAAACAAAGGCTACAAGACCACTGAGCAAAGACATCTTAATGGTAACAGGAGCATAAGGGGGAGGTTATCAGACCCCAGGTCATGAGAATGGGTGTTAAAGTCAATTTAGAGAAACATTTTAAAATAAATAGAATAAAGTGAAACAAATCTCAGAATACATCACATTAAAGGTTGTAAGTACTGTTATAGAAACTTTTCTCCTTAGGTATACGTTGCCTGTATGTAAGGTTGTAACGTAAAACATATTTCATACTGCAGGCCATGGTAAAAAAATTTGAGAGATACTCCTCTGGGTGGCCATCAAGGTACTTTCAGACACTTACTGTGTGAAAGAGGTCTTGACTAGAGTCAGAAGGCCTAGGTCCTCTCTCAGCCCCATAGTGGCAACTAGTCATTTTTCTCTGAACTCTTCCCCATTTGTTCACTGATGGTCAAAGTCATTTAGAACTTTAGATAGAATGCCTAAAGTCCTTTCCAGTTCTAGAATTTTCTATGTTAATTCAGCAGATATTGCTTGAGCAGTACATTCTATATGCCAGGCACTTTCTAAGTGTAGGGGTACAGTAGTGAACAAAACAGACCAAAAATAAGCTCCTGCTCCTTGTGGAGCTTACATTCTAACAAGAATAGACAGTAAGGTAAATTAGTGAATCATGGTGAATGTTAGCAGTTCATGTTAGGTGCTTAAGGAAGAAAAAATAAGCAGAGAAGAGGGATATGAAATATTGGAGAGGATAGATGGAGTGATCAGGGAGTCCTCCCCTAGAAGGTGATTTTTGAGTAAAGACTTGGTGGTGATGACAGCACTAGCCATATGGATTCCTGGGATCCCCAGGTGGAGGGAACAGAAAATACAAAAGGGGTGGGAAAGTGCTTGGAGTGTTCCTTGAAAAGCAGGGAGGCAAGTGTCAGTGTGATTGGTGGAGAGTGGAAAAACATTGTCAAAGATGCAGTCAGACAGGGAACCGGGGGCCCGGGGCAGAGCTCTTTAGAGCTGCTTCCTTTCCTTTGGTAGTCTGCAGATGGTATTCCTACCTTCCCCACTTACAAGGATGGGCAGTGAGGAGAGGGGAATGTGCTCTAAAACTCTGAGGTCCTGGGCAAATACGACATTATGACCACTTTGTGGATTAAGGTAAATGAAGCATGGGAGAATGCCACCCCTCTCCCCAAGGCCCACCCGGCCCACCCTTCAGAGGATGCAGTCTTCTAGCCCACAACAGATCTCTCAGCAGTGCTTGTGCTATCAAGAGTCTAAGAGTTTCTTTGCTTTTGATTTAGAAATTTCATCACCCAAAGCTAAGTAGTCTTCATCGGGAGAACTTCATCTGGAATCTCAAAAGTGTTCCTCTTCTGGAGAAATACCTCTTTGCCTTGGGCCAGAATCGGAATCGAGAGATTGTTGAACAGGTCATTCAGCTGTTCAAGGATGAAGTGATGACCAGTCTAGGTCATTTTAGAGAATGTGAGTACCCGCCCCAATCAAGTAAATGTATTTCTTAATTTTTCAATTGTCAAATTTCAAACCAGCAGAAAAGTATGGAGGTACAACTTAGCTTTAACAATCTTAATACTTTGTCATATTTGGTCCTGTTGCTTTTAAAGAATAATACTTTCATCTCCCTTAAAATTGAATTTGAAGCACCTCTAAATTTACATGATTCTGCCTCTCCCCTCCCTACTAAATTTGCATACATCTTTTAATATTACTCAGTTGTGTCCAACTCTTTGTGATCCCATGGACTATACAGTCCATGGAATTCTCCAGGCCAGAATACTGGAGTGGGTAGACTTTCCCTTCTCCAGGGGATCTTCCCAACCAGAGATCAGGTCTCCCACATTACAGGTGGATTCTTTACCAGTTGAGCCACAAGGGAAGCCCTTTAATATTACTACATATGTATTTATAAATTACCTATATAGTATTTTACATACTTTCAGACTTTAGATAAATGGCATCACACTATATTATCATCCTGCAAACTGATTTTTTATTCAACACTATGTTTCTCAGATTGATCCATTTAATAGATGTAGTTCTAGTTCATTTAGTTGATTAGTTTTAACTGCTGAGTAATATTCCATTGTGTGTGTGTGTGTGTGTGTGTATACTATAGTTTATTTCAATGTAATTTTTGAGTCTATTCTCTTGTTAATAGAATTTTAAGTTTATATATATATATATACACACACACACATACATATAAAGGAAAAAAAATTGAGAGCTACTTCTCTGGGTGGCCATCAAGCCACTTCCAGACACTTACTGTGTGAAAGAGGTCTTGACTGGAGTCAGAAGACCTGGGTTCTCTCTCATCCCCATAGTGGCAACTTGTCATCTTTCTCTGAACTCCTCCCCATTTGTTCATTGATGGCCAGAGTCATTTAGAACTTTAGATACAGTGGTCAATGCCTAAAGGCCTTTCCAATTCTAGAATTTTCTATGTTAAGAGCATTCATCTACTCAGCAGATATTGCTTGAGCAGTGCATTCTATATGCCAGGCACTATTCTTAATGTAGAGATACAATAGTGAACATATATATATATATAAATGATGCTACAATGAGCATGCCAAGCATATTTCCTTTTGTACACATGCAACAATTTCTTTAGGGTGTAATGAGCCTTCTGACCCAACATGAAGCACTGGTCAAAGGGCAAGGAACTGAGGGGGCATTTCTTGCAAAGTCGAGGATAGGCAGTGCACATCCTTTTCATCCTCTGCTTTCTGTATTAGTTGGCTCAGGCTGCCATTAAAAAACACCAAAGACTAAGGATTATTGCTTTAGCCTCCTAACTGGTCTCCCTGCTCCTGTCTGTCTCCCTACAGGATATAGTTACTTGTGTCTTCCCGTTTGTTTGGGTTTTTTTGCTTAAAATTACTTCTCTAAGATTATCCATGTTGTTGCATGTGGCCGTTTAATTTTTATTACTGTAGAGTATGTGATTCATAAATATACCACACATTAGCTATTCCTCTCTTCAAAGATATTTGAGTTGCCATGGCTGATTCATGTCAGTGTATGACAAAAACCACTATAATATTGTAAAGTAATTAGCCTCCAACTAATAAAAATAAATGGGAAAAAAAAAGATATTTGAGTTGTTTCCAGTTCTAGTCTGTTAAGAACAGTGCTCTGTGGATCTTCTTGTGTCTCTTGGTATATGTGTTCAAGAGTTCTTTGAGTATATGACTTCGTGAGCTCAGGGGTAGAATTGCTAGGTCCATAGTTCATGTCCATATTCAACTTCAGAGATATGCCGAACAGTTTTATGACTTTGTACTACTACTAGCAGAGTATAAAATTTTTATTCCTCTACAATCTTGATACCATCAGACTTCAATTTTTGCCAATCTGATGTATGTATAATGTTTTCTTATTGTGGTTTTAATGTGTATTTCCCAATTTACTAGCCATTTGGATAGATTCTTTTGTGAACTGCCTATTCAACTCTTCTGCTGGCAAAGTAATATCTCTGCTTTTTAATATGCTGTCTAGGTTGGTCATAGCTTTTCTTCCAAGGAGCAAGCATCTTTTAATTTCATGGCTGCAGTCACCATCTGCAGTGACTTTGGAGCCAAAAAGATTAAAAAAATTTTTTTTCCTTCATAATATGACTATAATACATCTGGAATTTATTTTTATATACAGTGTGAGTTTTCTTATGGCTGATAAATTTTCTCACCAACATTTATTAAAAAGCCATGTTTTCCACTTTATTTTCTAGTACCACCTCAATTGTAAATCAAATATGATTTTGGACTGTATTTTGCTCTATTGGTCTATTTGTCTATCTCTGCACCCATAGCACACTGTGTATCAGCTAGGCTAGGTCATGCTGCAGTGACAAATAACCCCCAAATTCTTGTGGACTTAAATAACAAAGGTTTAGTTCCTACACAAGCTCAGGTCTGTCATGGATTGACTGGGACTATGTGTATTCTTATTTTGGGATTTAGACTGATAAAACTTTCACCAACTGGGATATTGGTATGGAGAAAGAGATGTAGTAAATTGTACGCTGAATCTTAAAGCATCTGCCCTGAAGTGATGTCACGTGTTACATGTAGTGGCCAAAAAAACAACACTGCTGCCAACAACTTTTGGAAAAGCAGGGAATTGGCAACCCAGAGTGTTCCTGGAAGGAAAATAACTGGAATATTTGAGCATCGCTAAAGATTACTACACTATCTTAATTTCTTTAACTTTTAAAGTCTTCATATCTGATAGAACATGTCCTCTCATTTTCTTGTTCCTCTTTAAAAGGGTCTTGACTTTTTTTTGTTCTTTCTACATTTCCATATCAATTTTGGAATCAGCTTGTCATGTTTAAAGAAAAATTTTGTTGAGATTTTGGCTAGATGTGGACTGAATACATACATACATACATACATATATATATATATATATATATATATATATATTTGGAGAAAATGTGTATGTTTATAAGATTGAGTAATCTAACCTCTGAACACTGGTCTATCTCTCCATTTATATAGACCAATAAAACATATATATGATGATATGTTTAGTTATCCTTTTACTATTGATTTCTACTGTTGCATTATGGTCAGAGAATATACTTTGTATCAGTGCTGTCCAGTAGAGTTTTCTTCAATGATGGACATGTTTTGTATCTGTGTTATCTAATATAATAGCTCCTGTGTGGCTATTGAGCACTTGAAATGTGGCTAGTGCAACTAAGGAACTAAACTTTCCATTTTATTTAATCTTAATGAATTTAAATGGAAACTTATGACCAGTGGCTATCATATGGGACAGAACAGCTCTATATGATTTCAGTACTTTGAAATTTCTTAACATTTACTTCATAGTGAAGCATGTGGTAATTTTTTTTAAATGTTCCCCATATGCTAAACAGAATTTATTCAGTAGGTGTTGGGTACAAAGTATTCAGTAGGTGTTGGGTGCAAATATGTCCAGTAAATCAAATCTATTAATCTTGTTGTTTAAATTTTCTGTACTGTTGGAAAAGGAAATGGCAACCCACTCCAGTATTCTTGCCTGGAAATTTCCATGGATAGAGGAGCCTGGCAGGCTACATGGGGTCACAAGAGTCGGACACAACGTAGTGATGAAACCAAACCACCACTGTTGGCTTACCTTTTTGTCCACTTGCTCTAACAATGATCAAGAAAAGTGTGTTTAAAATCTCCCACTCTTAAAAAAAAACAAAAAACCTCCCACTCTAACTGTGAATTGCCTATTTTTATTTGTATTTCTGTCAAATTTTGCTTTATATATTTCAAGGCAGTGTGCACATAAAATTAGAATTGTTGTCTTACTAGAAAACTGAATCTTTTATCAATATAAAGTATCCTTCTTTATTTATCTTGCTTTTTGCCTTAATATCTACTCCATCTGATATTATATAGCTATCCCATCTTATTTTTTGTTCTCTAGATTTTTTTCTGTCTTTTCCATTTTTACTTTTCTTTCTCCCTTCTTTTCAGTGAATTGTTTTTGTGCTAATTATTTTGTCTTTTTTTCTCTGTCTCCAGAAAACTATATACTTTAAATGATTATCTTATAATACTTCAACTTATCAAAGTCTGATACAGGGACCTTAAAGTAATTTCATTCCATTTATCTCCTTCCTGACTCATATGCTGCTGTTTTAGTAAACTTTAATTCTATATTTTTCACCACCCAAAACACTATTATTTTTGTTATAGAGTCAAGTTTATTTAGATTTTCTTATATATTCACTTTTTATCTTCCAGCACCCCAAACCTTCAATCTGGAGTCATTTTTTTCCTGCCCAGAATACATCTTTCCAAATTTCCTTCCTTTAATGCAGTTCTCTAATGGTGAACTTTCTCTGATTTTGTCTGAAAATATTTTTATTTTGTCTTCATTCCTAAAGGATATTTTCACAGCCTATAGAATTTTAGATCTCATGGGTTTAGAATTTTAGAATTCTACTGTCTTCCATGCTGCTGAGAGGCCAGCTGTCAGTCTGTTGTTTCTCTGAAGATAATTTGTCTTTCTCCTTTGGGTTTCTTTTCAGATTTTTTTTTTTTTTTACTTTACTTGGGTTTTCCAAACCTGTGTATGAACATTGTCTTTCATCATTTATAGAAAATTCTTGCCTCTGCACCTAATCCTCTTCTTCTCCTTTTGAGACTTCAATTAAGCTCATATTATGCCTTCTCATTGAATCCTCTGTGTATATTACCTTCTCTTTTTCTCTGCCCATGCTGCATTTTGGAAAATCTTCTATCCTATTCTGTAGTTTATTGAATCTTTTTAGCTATGTCTAAACTCTTAAACCCAACCATTGTGTTCTTAATTTATTCATTGTATTTTTCAGTTTTAGAAGTTCTTCTTGATTACTTTTCTATAGTAACTGCCTTGGGCCATACTCTATATCAACACACAGGGAAATAAGTTACCATGAGCAAGAACAAGAAACTGACCATAGTCATTGAACCAAAGACTTCAGTAACTTCAGTAACTGGGCACAGGATATATTCACACAGCATCCAGGTTTAGCATTTGGTTTCAAGGCTATATTTCTGTCCTTCTCCCTCCTTGGAACTGCAGTGTCTAAGCAGTGGGTTGGTAGCAGATTTGGTCCTGCTTTTATGAGTTAGGAGGCCCTCTTCACTGCCTCCAGCTTCATGTGGTGAGCATGTTCCCCAACAAACAGGTAGTATTTTAAGTTCCTTCTCTCAAAGGGGGAAAGCATATTGCTGATCTGAAACACAATAGGCAAGCCTGTGGCTTTATTCCTTCTCACTGCTCACTTGCGCTTGGCATTTCTATTCTGTTTGTATAAATCTATCTTGGTTTTGAGTCTGGCTGTGTATCTGTTGTTTTCTCTTTTTATTTTTATCATTGCTATGTATATTGGGGTTATCGAAGTAAGAATTCACTCTGCTATCTTGGTCAGAACTCTTTCTTTTCTTTTGTTAATTCTCAAATTCAACTACTTCTGTTATTTTATTCCAAGCACTAAGTAGCTGGATCATTTCTTAATAGGCCACTGGACACGTGAAAAGAAGCAACGAAATGAGAGAGGTTTCCACAGATACAGATTGCATTCATGAAGTAATATATTTCATTTATTCTAAAATACCAATCCACTGTGTAAGATATCAAATTGTTTTATGAACCTCTAAGGGAGAAAAAATATTGTCAGTGAAACTATGACATGGTATCAATCATATGATAAATCCCCATATCAGAAACATGTGGTTTACAGTAATATTCATTGCTTCTACAGGCCACCCACTGTGCTACATCACTTAAGCATGATTTACACAACCCTAAGTCATATAGAAGAAACCAGCATTATACTTAAAAGCTAATATTATGGACTTTATATCATGCACTTATTATAAAGTAGGTGACTCACTGCTTCAGTATGCACAGACATCCCCATCTCCTCCTAACCCTCACTCAGCGGTTTAAATCAGTACTTCTCAAACTCTCCATGGTAAAAGACAAGTTTGGGTTTTTTCTTCCAACTCCCTGAAGCCTGATACATTTGGCCCTACTTTTCAAGATTAATTCATGGCTCACACCACACATGATTTACCATGCGAGTTTGATAACATCAGAACTGGGCTATACTGTTAATGAGATAAGGCCCCTGTCATACTCTTGATGAAAAGTCAAACAGTCTAGATGTCTGTTTTTATTCTCATGCAGACTAATAACAGTTTGTGGGCCAGAACTAGCCATAGGCCCCCCACTTTGAGTGGTACTGACTTAAAATAACATCATCTATTCCAGTAATCAGAAGACTAGAGAAATTCAGAATTACTTTGTCATCAGAAATTTCTTTCCTAGGTTAAAATAAAGGCACATCTGGTCCACTCTAGGATTCTTTGCTTCTTATAATAACATGAATGTATATATGCATGTATCTATATATATTAGACAAGTAAAGGGTAAAGAACTTAAAGATGAATTGACAAAACATTTCAATTTTCATTGGCTCAGAGCCAAAATCAGGTATTTGCAATGACTACAGTCTCCCTCTTCTGTCCTTGTATTGATGAAAAGCAAAAGCAACCACCAAAATTAACTGCTTTTATCCTTTTCAGAGGAAATTATTTTATTTCTCAAGAAAAAGAGGGTTTAGCTCTTTATCTCTGATTGCTCATCAAATTATTTGAATGCCCATACCTGAGAAAGTGGAGAAGGAGATGGCAAACCACTCCAATATTCTTGCCAGGGAAATCCCACGGACAGAGGAGCCTGGCAGGCTACAGTCCATGCAGTTGCAGAGTTGGACATGACTTAACAACTAAACCACCATCACCATCTGAGAAAGAGTAATGGAAAGAGAATGAACTAGGGTATTAAACAACTGTTTTTACTTGGCTTGATTTTTCTCCTTTCAGGTATCATTCATGGAGATCTTAATGACCACAACATTTTAATAGAGTCCAGCAAGTCAGCCTTTGGAGAAGCTGTTTATCAGGTGTCTGGGATTTTAGATTTTGATGACATGAGCTATGGCTACTATGTGTTTGAAGTGGCGATCACCATCATGTACATGATGATTGAAAGCAAGACTCCTATACAAGTAGGAGGTCATGTCCTTGCCGGGTTTGAAAGTGTGGTCCCGCTGACTCCTGTGGAGAGGGGTGCTTTGTTTCTACTTGTATGCAGTCGTTTTTGTCAGTCACTTGTCCTAGCTGCATACTCTTGCCAGCTATACCCAGAAAATGAAGAGTATCTCATGATTACTGCAAAAACCGGGTGGAAACACTTACAGCAAATGTTTGACATGGGCCAGAAAGCTGTAGAAGAAATCTGGTTTGAAACTGCCAAGTCCTATGAATCTGGAATCTCCATGTGACTAAAGATTCACATTAACTTGAGTAATGAAGAATCAATAGGACCTAATCTAATTCCATAAAGGGTTTTCCTGCACAGTCAAGATGAATTGATGAAACATTTCAATGCACATGTAACCACTAAGGTCTTCTAGTAATTTCATGACCATTTTTTAACCTAAGAAAGTACTGTATGAGCAAGCATGTCTTTCTATGGGTTTCACTTGCCTTGTGTATCAAACATGCAAAGTGATATTTTGAATCAAATAATCTCTCAAGATCAATGATTTTTTTTAACTTTGAAAGGAATATATATGTATAGACATATTCACATATATTAGATAAGTGAATGCAACATACAGACCTAGTTAACGTATCACCAGTTCTATGAAGCCTTATCCCATCTCTTCATTGTTCGTAATCTATTTGTACCCTGCCTTTTCTATGGCACATCACTTGGTATCATGGGTGATGGCCGTGTAGTCATCTAGTCTAAGAGCTATTTGAGGGCAGAAACCGTGTACATTGTTTTTTTTTTTGTCTTTCATCCATTCTTACACTGGTATAGTGTCTTTCCAATGGTCTTTAAAAATATTTTCAAAATTAATGTATCCTAGAAGAAAGGCTGGAGAAAATAAGGCACACACTAAAATGCCTCAGGAGAAAACAGAGATGGTATTCATAAGAGAAAGCTTTAACTTGTTTGAGAGGGCAGTTGAAACAAACTCCAGAGGCATATGCCAGAACTCACTGGAACTGCAAGTAAGCAAATAAGACACCCAGACAAGGCCACTAACTCATGAGGTATCTAAACAGTTTTCACACTGATACCAAGAAAGACCCTAAGCAGATATTTTTAAATCCTCTACCATTTGTTTCTTTTCATATGAATATATAATATTGGAGAACATAGCTTATGTATACTTGACTTTATTCATACCACTGTATTTCCTTCACTGATTTCTGGTCATGTCTCCCTTAGTATGATAAACAGTAAGTAGTAATTTACTTAGTCTTGTCAATGTAGCTCTCCATTCTCTGTAGATGACTCAAGTCTAGAACCCAGGCCATTCAAACACCTTTTTAGTAGTTATCTCTTTTGATATATATGAGAATATATATCATATAAAACCATCTAATGACCTACCTACAGAGCTATCTATTCTCTCCAAACTAGGTCTCTGAATTTTCTTGTATCACTCATTTGTATCATTCTTATGTTCACCTTTAACTTCTCTGTGCCTCAGTTTCCTTGTCTGTGAAGGTAAAGTACCACCTATCTTAAAGTTCCTATAACACTTACCTCAAGGAGTTAGTTGTGAGGATTTCTTAGAGATTAATGCAAAGTTCTTAGCACAAAGCTTGGCACATATAAAAGACTTAATAAGTATTTACTAAGTGAATGAACCAGTTTACCCAAACTCAGAATATTGGAGTACTTTTCTTTTTGCCTCATATTCAGTCAGTGATCTGATTCTTAGGAATCAGAATTTTAGATCAGTAAATGACTATCAAATCCCTCTTCTTCCTGCTGTACTGTTTAGCAATGTATAATAAAAACAATATTTATTGAGTATTAAGTATTTAAAAGAAAACTCTTTCTGCTCTCACAACAATTCTGACACTAAATGTGTGGGGTTTTCCCCCCACATTAAACCATTTGACACTAACTATTTAGAGCTAAAGCAGACCCCCCAGGTTAAGGACACAGTCCCTCAAAACTGCCTCCACTTCAGATGCTAGCCCCAAGTCCCAGGTTGTGCTTCTGACCAACTGCCTGCAAGTTGGGGGTTCTCATGACCCCCTCCTCAGGTTCTATAATTTGCTAGGACAGCTCACAGAACTGAGGGAAATGCTTACTTATGTTTATTAGTTTATTATAAAGGGTATGATAATAAAAGATGAACAGACAGGAAGAAGTATATAAGGTGAGGTCCAGAAGGGTCCCGAGCACCGAAGCTCTGTCTGTCTCGAGTTGCAGAGCACCATACTCCTGGCATGTGGGTCTGCTCACCAACCCAGAAGCTCCTGAACCTCTTTGGTTAGGGCTTTTATGGAGGCTTCATTATGTAGGTATGGTTGATCAAGTCATTGACCACTGGTGGTTAAATCAGTCTCCCTCCTTTTCCCTCCCCAGAAGGCAGGAGTGAGGCTGAAAGTCCCAGTCCTCTAGTCACTGGGTTGGTTCCGCTCATAACGAGCCCGCATCCTTCATGACTCACCTCGCTAGCATAAATTCAGATGTAGCCGAAAGCAGGTTATTATGAATAAAGAAGACACTCCTCTGTCCCCTACCACTCAGAAAATTACAAGAGTTTTAAAGGCTTTAAAACCGGGACAAAGACCAAACATATATTTCATGCTATATCACAGTACTTTACATGCATTATCTCATTTAATCTCCATATAGACCCATGAGAGAAGTACTCTTATGATTAATTCCCATTTTCAGATGAGGAAATAGATGCTTAAAAAGTTGAAGGAGTTTGCTCCAAGAGAACCAGGCACCCATACCACTTCCTCTCCCTCCCTTCCTCTCCTCCCTCTGGGCTCACAAACACACACACCCTGTGTTAGGACAGTCAAGTGAGATCATTCACAGAAAAACACTTATGCTTCTCAAATTTAAGGGGTTGTGATTTTTATCTACTTTGACCATTCAGGAAACTGGGGACTAGAAAAATGAACTAAAGCTTGTATTTCACTCCCAGACCACTATTCATTTTCTTACACCATGAAACTCTAGATTTATGAGAGTTCAAGATTTCCTGCTTGTTTGGTCCTCCTGCTAACATGGGTTCTCTTTCCCTGAATTATGAATACAAATATTGCTGACCACCCTGTCAATTAAATACGTGCTGCCTTGCATTGCTATTTTACTATTCGGTGTTTGCTGCAGCTTATCTCCAGTCAATCAGTTCAATGTGGCTTCGGTGGGCAGAAACTGAATATTTATTTCATTATCTTCAGAACCAAGTTCCCTGCCCAGCCCCTAGCACACCCTAAATAAAGGTCCGTCTGATGAACTGTTAGAATGAATGCAATTCTACAGGTGCCAGTCTTTGGTTCTTTGCACCAATGAGGAGAAAATCCATTTCTAGGTTTGGGAATTAATACCATTTGTCCAGCAAAGACTCTACTCTTGCAAGTATCTTTTTCTGTCAAGGCTTTTAGCCCCTCTTGACTGCAACAGAGCTTTAGTTTCTGGCCTTATTATCCAACCTACATCCTTCATATTAAGGTTTCCTGTTTGGCTCAGACAGTAAAGAATCTGCCTGCAATGCAAGAGACCTGGGTTCGATTCTTGGGTCAGGAAGATCCCCTGGAGAAGGGAATGTCTACCCACTCCAGTCTTCTTGCCTGGAGAATTCCGTGGACAGAAGGGCCTGGCGGGCTACATCCTTCATAGTAGGGGCAGATAATAACTCTAGTTACATTATATTGCTGTGTGACAATTTAACCAAAAACTTAGTGGCTTAAAAGCTCAATCTTTTTTTATCTTATGGCATCTTCAGGTCATAAATTCAGACAGGCACTAGGACAGCTTGTCTCTGCTCCACGATGTCTGAGGCCTTAGCTGGGAAAACCTGAATGCTGGGGGAAGTTTCATGGCTGGGGGAGATTCAGTGATAGAGGACTAAAATCATCTGGAGGAATCCTCGCTCACAAATCTGGCGGGACACGCTGGAACCTCATCTGGGCTGTTGGTGGAACATCTCTCCGTTTGGTCTCTGCTCCCTCACAGCATGGTGCTGCAGTTCCAAGAAACACCCTCCCAAGAGAACAAGACAGGAATATATTTTTTATGATCTGACTTTGGAAGTCATATGATGTTACTTCCATTGAAGTCACAAGCCCACCCAGATTCAGGGCAAGGGGACACAGAACGTCTCAGTGGGAAGCATCCATGCCACATTGTAGGAGGAACATGTGGGACAGGAGATCATGAGGCTTCATCATCCTAAAACATCACTTTAATCCTCTTTTCTCACTACCTACAGAGAAAAAATTCTGTCATTGAAAGTGTTCTAAATTTGGCCTAAAATAACCTTTCCTCTTTTCCTCCCTTTATTGACTTCTTCACTCTGGCCAGACAGAACTACTCTGTCAGCCACTTGTTAAACTCATTTTTACTTCTGCTCTTTTATCTCAATGGATCCCTCTTCTTTTGACCTAATAAATTCTATCTCTCACTTAAAACTCTTAAGGATTAATTCTGCAGGATGAACTAAGGTGGCAGGGATCCTCAGAGATCCCAAAAGTTACACTGCCACCTAAGGATGCTTTCAGAACACCATCTGTCTGGATGTGGCTCTTGCCATCTTGCCTTGGCTCTCCTTCCTATGTGCCTGGGAAGCAGAAATGAATGGAGAGACCTCAAACCACAGCTCATTCCCAAGCTACCTCCTTTTCAAAGCCCAGATCCCTGAATAATAAATTTTTGACCAACATGAAGAGGACAAAGTCCCTACCCTGTGGACCTTTTCTTGGAGGAGACTATGAGCAAATGACTACACGTTAATTCAGACCTAGTCTGAAGAGACTTGGTCTTGAAGAGACTTAAAACATGAATAGTAGATAGTAGTTTACATAGGGACTGAAGCCATATTTTAAAAAGTGGTGGAACAGAGAGATGGATAATGAAAACACAAATATAGTTTATGTATAGAAGATAACAGGTGTGTATGGTGATGGTAGGGTATTGCTTTAATTAGATTGGTCAGGGGAATCCTTTCTAATGATGTCAAAGGGAGAGGAGGATACTAAGGTGAAAGTTCTTCCAAAGATGTAAATCTCATGATAATTTGCTTTATATGTATAAAAACACATGTATTAGCAATGAAAGTGGAAGGTATATTCAAGAAGGGAGATGATAAGAAGAAGGAGGGTGAAGGGTAAAATCTGACGTGCTTGGGCCCGTTTTGAGAACAGGGCAGGAAAAGCAAGAAATTTATAGGTGGTCCCACACCATTGCCACCAGGGAAGGCAGAGTAAAAGTGTTAAGTTGCTCAGTTGTTTTGTCCGACTCTCTGTGACCCCACAGGCTGCAGCCACCAGGCTCCTCTGTCCAGGGAATTCTCCAGGCAAGAATACTGGGTGGGTTCATATTCCCTTCGCCAGGGGATCTTCCCAACCCAGGGACAGAACCCAGGTCTCCCGCATTGCATTGCAGGAAGATTCTTTACCATCCGAGAAGAAAAGTTATGACAAATCTAGACAGCATATTAAAAAGCAGAGACATTACTTTGCCAACAAAGGTCTGTCTAGTCAAAACTATGGTTTTTCCAGTAGTCCTGTATGGATTTGAGAGTTGGACTATAAAGAAAGCTGAGCGCCGAAGAACTGATAATTTTGAACTGTGGTGTTGGAGAAGACTCTTGAGAGTCCCCTGGACAGCAAGGAGATCCAACCAATCCATCCTAAAGGAGATCAGTCCTGAATATTCATTGGAAGGACTGATGCTGAAGCTGAAACTCCAATACTTTGGCTACCTGATAGGAAGAACTGACTCACTGAAAAAGACCCTGATGCTGGGAAAGATTGAAGGCAGGAGGATTTGGGAAGACAGAGGACGAGATGGTGGGATGGCATCACCGACTCAATGGACATGAGTTTGAGTAAGCTCCCGGAGTTGGTGATGGACAGGGAAGCCTGGCGTGCTGCAGTCCATGGGGTCGCAAAGAGTCGTACACGGCTGAGCGACTGATCTGACTGAACTGAACACCATTGCTCTCCTGGAGGTTATGACTTAGTGCTGAAGAGAAAGTGAAAGTGAAAACAGAGAGCAAAGCGTGGGAAAGGGTCATGAGCCATAATTCCACTTCCTCCTTCCTGCCCTCCTCCTCATGGTCTAGTGCCCCTTCGTTGGGCTGAGAGCCCTGCCAGTGCAGTGCCTTCGTACCCCAATCCCCCAGCGCACACGAGGGCGATCGACTCTCGCTCCGCCCCCCCAGAAGAACGTCCGCGTCCTCGGCTGCCCCGCCCCCGGCGGTTCTGCGCACGCGCGGGGGCCATATTAGCCTCGGATACTTGGGCACTGTCGGAGTGTCTTTCCCGCGGAGAAAGGTGCTCGGTGTCGGTCTCCACGCTTCAGCGTCTTCCCTCCGGTGAGCCTTTACCCCCTGCGCACTCTCGGAAGCTTGGCCGCTCTCCCTGCAGGCCGGAGCCGTAAGCGTCGCGGCAGAGCGGCTCCCGGCCTGCAGCGGCCGGTGAGGAGCCGTGGGCACGATGACTCTGCACCGGCTAGTCAGTGACGGACCCGCGGGGGAACTGGCCCCGGCCGGCCTCCATCGGGCTTCCCTGCGCTGAGCGGGCATCGCGGGGCCGGGGACGCTCGGGCGGCGGGGCGAGCGCGGGGCTGGTGGGCAGGACAGAGTGGTAGGGCTGCCTCGGTCCCGGGAAGAGTTCGTATGCGAAAGTGAACCTGCGGCAAGGGAGGTGCGTGTGAACTCGCCTCGGGCCGTTGTCCGTCGTGGAGATGAGAAAGTTGTATTCTCGCGCGAATCAGGAGCCCGGCGGGTCTCTGTGCCCTCCTGGCCCTCTGCTCAGGACCACACTTACCTTTCAGCTGCCTGTTGCAGTACCCTCATAACTGGTTATTCTGCCCCAGTCTTCACCAGCCAGAGCGATCTTTCTAAAATGCTAGTCAGCTCCTGAGGCTCTTGGGCCCAGCATCATTCCTTGGAGCCCCTTTCCTTAAGAGATAAAATTCACAGATTTTACCTGGGTATGCGGGCCTTCGGGGCCTAATCCCTGCTTGTCTTTCCATTCTTAATTCTCAATATTCCAGAATTTGGGAAAATTGGCTCTGGAGGCCGAAGTTTGGGTTTTCCACCAAGTCACGCTGAGCCTGTGTTGTCTTCTGCAGAAATAGTAATAATGCCAAAGATTATTGTCCCGCTTCTCCCTTTCATGGTTCAGGACCCCGGTATCATCCTCTGGAGAAAGCCTCAGCCTCTTAGCTTGACATTCAAAGCTCTACATGGTCTAGATACTTGTTTAGTTCTTTAGTTTTTTCATATATTTTTTTTAATTTTTAATTCGAGGATAATTGCTTAATAATGTTGTGTTGGTTTCTGCTGTACAAGTTGTGAATCAGTTGTAAGTATACATACATCCCCTCCCTCTTGAGCGGTTCCCCCCAGCCACTCCCATCCCACCTTTCTAGGCTGACTGGGAGCACCAGGCTCCCTGTGCTCTGCAGCAGCTTCCCGCCAGTTATCTGTTTTATAGTGATTGTGTATGTCAGTGCTCCTCTCAATTCATCCCACCCTCTTCCTCCTGCCCACCCCACCACCACCCCCCTCTGTGCCCATAAGTCTCTTCTCTACATCTGTGTCTATCCCTGCCCTGCAAATAGGTTCATCTGTACCATTTTTCTAGATTTCTGTATATGTGTTTTTCACTTTGTGACTCCACTCTGTATAACAGGCTCCAGGTTCATCCACCTCGGTTCAGCTGACTCCAGTTGGTTCCTTACTGTGACTGACTAATATTTCATTGTGTCTGTGAATACAGCTTCTTTACTCATTCATCTGTAGACAGACATCTAGGTTGCTTCCATGTCATATATATATATATTTTAACTCCAGCAACTTGTCTTACCCATTGAGCTGTCCTGCCTCAGTGCTTTGTTCATGCTTTCTCCTCTGCCTGGAATGCCTTTTCCTTCTTTCTTCCCCTGTTCCTCTTAGACCTGAATGTTCTCAGCCTTATTTCTGCCTTTCCTGTCTCTAATTTAGGCTCATATTCTGTATTTGTTTCACAAAAACTACTTTCTAGTTTTTCTCCAACCTGTTTCCACTCTACCCTTAGTGCCTCTGTTTCCACGCTGCTTTATAATTGTCCTTCTGTGTCTGCTTCCCTCATGTGACTACCAGACTGTAAACTCTTTAGGAAAGGGATTGGTCTTACCTATCTTGGTATTTCAGCATTTAGCATAGTGCCTGGGTGCACCATACTGTTGGCTGAATGAAGAGAGTGGACAAAACAGATTTTTTTAAGTCAAGAAATGCTTTTTAAATTGTAAGTTTCTTTTTAATAATTACCTTATTTTCCTTTTACAGGAATTATCATAAACATAAGAAAACATGGTGAGTTAATACACATGCCAATAAACCGTTGGCCTGATAAATCAAATTGTTTGTACTCATCTTACCAACTTGCATGAGAAAATTGAAATGGAATGATGTCTTCTTATCAGTTTCCTCCCACACTCTGAATTTTGCATGCCAGGATGTGTTCTATAAAATGATTTGTGGGTTTGCAGGGGTTGACTTATTTTTAGTGGGTAGAAATCACTTGTATGTTTTTCTTTTGCAGTCTCGAAGATATGACTCCAGGACCACTATATTTTCTCCAGAAGGTAAAATATAAATTGTTTGGTCTGTCTCAAATAAAATTTAAAAAAATATTTTTAGGTGTTAAGTTGTTCATCCTTTTTGTACTTTGAGGTAGTTATGGTCATTGGGTTAATTATGTGCTTCATAGGACTATTAGTAAAAGTGGGACAGTTGTTTGTAGCTCTCTAGTGTTGTTGCTGATTGCTCTTGAACCAGTGGTGCAAGAACAAGGAGGAGAGTCTTGGTTTCTTGCTGCTTGTGTTTTGTAGGTCGCTTGTACCAAGTTGAATATGCCATGGAAGCTATTGGACACGCAGGCACCTGTTTGGGAATTCTAGCAAATGATGGTGTTCTGCTTGCAGCAGAGAGACGCAACATCCACAAGCTTCTTGATGAAGTCTTTTTCTCTGAAAAAATTTATAAACTGAATGAGTAAGTCAGTCTTAGGGAAGAAAGTTGAAAACATCTCATCACATTTTGGGAGGGCTATGCACTATGACACGGTACAGTTGAACAGTTTGTTGTGTTTTTTCTTCTGAAAATTCCTGGTTTTAACCTACTTGCTTGAAACCTCCTTGAGGCCCACGACCATAAATGTGGGGCCAGGTACTCAGTGGAGAAACATTGTTGTATAGTGATGAGAGTACAGGCATGGTGCTCACTCAGCTTTGGGTTAAATCTAGGTTCCACCAATACAAGCTGTGACTTCACACCCATTGCTTAACTTCTCTGGGCCTCCAGTAGAGCCTACTGGAGTGACTGTGGCAGTTCAATGAAATAGAATGAATGAATGAAATAAGCTAGCACAGTGTTAGGAACATAGGAGGCCCTCACGGTATTGTTGAGAATGGTTGCAAAGAATTAGTTTTAATTATACTGAATCTTACCAAAGACCACGTGTCCTGGAGGTCTTGGAAAAGTTTAGACAGGGCCTGTACACTAGTGAAATTTCTGATACACATGGGTGTGCAGGACTGCAGCTAGCAGAGAGTTGGGTTTGCTGATTGGAGACCCCCCCCTTCTGTGGTGCGCCATGTGAATGTTGGTTATAGGGCCTTCTTGATACACACACCCCAGGAAGTGTCATCCATCAACAGAGACACTGTTGGGCCCTCTCAAGCAGCCTGCAGGCTTGACTGGGCACAGTGCCAGAGGGGTCAAGGCTGTAGGAGAGCCCGGGCAGCCTTCAGGAAACGGAGGGTAGATAAAGAAAATGCACCCTCCCAGTGAGCCTCACCCTGGGCTTCCTTCTTAGGCTCAAAAATATCCTGCCCTTCGGGTCCCTTCACCTTCACCCCCATCAAGTGAGGCCTTTCAGAGTGAGAGTACTTATACCCAAGAGTGTGAAGTAGTCTGTCTTCCTGTCTGGCAAAACATTTTTCTTCCTTGTGGTTGAATCTTCTTGGGATTTACCCTAGCTTCCTAGTGTTATTCTCTTGCCCTGTTCACAGGGTGGTGATGGTAAATGCATCTGTTGTGAAGAACTCAAGGGTATATTTGTTTATCTTATGTGTTGAATGACATCAAGTTGAAAGTTTCCTACAAAGATAAAACTCATGTAGTTTTTGCCTTAAGGGTATAGCAACTGTGAGTAAGCATGGTGCATTTCTAATAGAATTTAGTATATTTTAAAACTTGTAAAATACCTCTGGCAAACATCCTCCCTAATTACAGATAAATGTCTTTCTTTTTTGCAAGGGATATGGCCTGTAGTGTGGCAGGCATAACTTCTGATGCTAATGTTCTGACGAATGAACTGAGGCTCATTGCGCAAAGGTATGGTCATAAATAATTTAATTGATGATATGTAAAGTTAGTTTTAATGTTTCTAAGAAGAATGCATTTTTTTTAAAGATAAAAGTCATTAAAAAGCTATTAACTGAAAATTACAGTTTACTTCTTTAACCAAATTTGTAAAATATTGGGTTGGCCAGAAAGACCGTTCATCTTATGGAAAACCTGAACGAACTTTTTGGCCAACCCAGTATTGTTTACGGTTAGGTTATTAAGAGTTGCCATACCGTCTACGCTCCCCCTTCAGATTACAACTATTATGTTGTCCCCATGGCAGAGATTTTTTTTTTTTAGAGGGTATTTTGCTTAGAGTGTGTAAAGTGTTTTAGGGAAAACTATTAATATGCCAGTTTCTTTATCCTAGGTATTTATTACAGTATCAGGAGCCAATTCCTTGTGAGCAGTTGGTCACAGCACTGTGTGATATCAAACAAGCTTATACACAGTTTGGAGGTACTGAAACCTTCGGAAATTTTATTCCCCAAACTTAAAACATTTTATGAGTAATAACCTTTTTGAAACAGTAAAAAGAAATTGAAAATGAAATAAGTAGACACTTCTCATATATTCCAGCTTCATGAACTAACTGGCTTCCATTATGTAGACTATCAAACATTTTATTAATAGACTACTGAAAGGCCAAAATAACATTTTAAAATCAGAAAACAAATGACTTTTTACATAATAGTAATGGTATTCAGCACTGGTCATCTGTGTATTCCCTTTCCTCACTGTGTCCAAATCCTAGAAACAAAAGTGGAATTTCTGATGGAGCTTATCTGTGGTGGCCAGAACATGAGCAGTTTATGAATGCTTAACTTCACAGAAAAGGGGTTAGCCACATTCACTGAGCCCAAGTAATCACAGTGATGCTAAATTTAGAGTGTTGATATGTGTGACTTTGTTTTCTCTGTTAAAGGAAAACGTCCTTTCGGTGTTTCATTGCTTTACATTGGCTGGGATAAGCACTATGGCTTTCAGCTCTATCAGAGTGATCCTAGTGGAAATTATGGAGGTTGGAAAGCCACATGCATTGGAAATAATAGTGCTGTGAGTATTTTTGTGTTGCTATAAAAATCTAGCAAAAGGTCTGATAACTGCCATAATTACAAAGTAGTGATGAGTGTAAACAGCATTTTAAGGTAGCTGCAACAAACTTAACATGATATGAAAATCTCTGTGATTTCTATTATTGATAAAGTCACAGGTACTACTAATACTGCTAGACTTTATTACCTACAATAATAATGAAAGGAAGTACCAGTTTTCAGTTAGAAGTTGTGAAAATAAGATCTAGTTTTTTGGGTTTTTTCCCACAGAAGAGTCACAGACTCCCTGAATTCTGTCACAGATCCCTGGGATCCATTCATAGATCATCAGCCTCCCTGCTTCACACCCCTATCCCATGTCTACCCTCCCTGCCATCAAACTTGTTTATATTGGTTATAATGCCAATAATTAGGCATTATTCATGTTCCTAAAAATGTACAATTTTAAAGGAAATTCTCTGTTGATTCTTTATATTTTATAGGCAGCTGTATCAATGTTAAAACAAGACTACAAAGAAGGAGAAATGACTTTGAAATCAGCACTTGCTTTAGCTATCAAAGTCCTAAATAAGACCATGGATGTTAGTAAGCTCTCTGCTGAAAAAGGTAATTTATGTGCACGCCTGTAATTTGTTCGTTTAGTGAGAGAAGTAATTGAGTGGCTCTTGTGTTAGGCCTTTAACATGTTATTGTAGTTCATTGAAACAGCAGCCTTTTTAAGTTAGGTGGCCTTATAACCATTTCCTGGAAAAGGAAATGGCAACCCACTCCAGTATTCTTGCCTGGAGAATCCCAGGGACAGAGGAGCCTAGTGGGCTGCCGTCTGTGGGGTCACACAGAGTCCGACACGACTGAAGCGACTTAGCAGCAACAGCAGCAGACTTGACCATGGTCAACACTGACAAGTTCTGGAGCTACAATCCCATATTACATTCCAAGCTTAAGGATTTGAGTTTGAATGTTCTCAATCTGTAATTAAATCTAAGCCATCCTATTTTATTTTATTGACTTCTTAATGATAATATATATGCTTCTATACACAGAAAATAAAGAATATGAGAGAAAGTCATTACATATTTATATGTGTGTGTGTGTGTGTGTGTGTGTATGTTTGGTGTACTTTATCAGAGGTATAACATTTAAATAAGTTCTGAATCTGATCTTTTATGTTAAGCCCCTGTTTGCTGTTGTACGTGCTATATTTAGCTTAAGTTATATGACTGCATAAAACAATATTTCTAAATAATGTGTTTGAAAATTAATGGTAAATTAATATATTGATTGAATTTGGGATGACTTAGCTTCTGGTGTTCCTTTAAAAATGCCATTTACTTGCAGATTGTTGTCTCTTGTCTACTTCTACTTAATTTCAGGAGGCAGTACTCAATTTCTCCTACTCAGAAGCTCTTCTCCATTTGGTATTAGTCTGCTTTTCTCATCTGTAGTCATAGGGGCTACTTTTCTTTTGAGAGGTTTGTGAAAAATAAGTGTAAGTAGTGGTTGAAGATTCTGGCTGAGCCTTCAGAGATCCCAACAAGGAAATTATGATTCCTTCTGGTCAGGCTATCTAGAGCGATTGGTTTGGTTATATTGAAAACTTTTTCCTAAAATTAACAGAACAGCAGCTCAGAGGTTAGTATGGGTGAAGATAAGGAAGATATTAAAATAAAAATATTCATAAAAGCATTACCAGATTGAAAATATTTTAAGTATCTATGAATTAATTGTATAAGCAGAAAACTTGGAAAAGTGGTGTACTAAAGCTCAAAGGATATGAAGAGACTAAACTGTAGTTGCTCGTTAAGTGTGTTGGCTAAGTCTGGCTGCCTGTAATACGTGTGTGTGTTTGCCTCTAGTGGAAATTGCCACACTAACAAGAGAGAATGGAAAGACTGTCATCAGAGTTCTCAAACAAAAAGAAGTGGAACAGTTGATCAAAAAACATGAGGAAGAAGAAGCTAAAGCTGAGCGTGAGAAGAAAGAAAAAGAACAGAAAGAAAAGGATAAATAGAAGACAAAATCAGGGATTTTATAACTCATTTGGGGCACCATTTCAGTGTAAAGGCTGTCCTACTCTTCCACATTGAGAAAGCTTTGACTTTTTTAACTTGTCTAGTGGGAAAATAGGATGGTACCAACTGAATTGGGTCCTTGTTATTTCTGTCCAGATGAATATTGTAATAATGATTACTCTTTATGGACATCTTAATCACCCTCTTCCTCTTTTTTTTTGAATAAAATTTGGAGAGAATGGAAATGTTGAAGGGAAAAATTCTCTAGCAATAACTGTTGAAGATACCAGGATTAATAGGGCTGTGGTTTTTTCATGCTTTGTATGTAGTGTGGCCACCTTTGTGTAACCTTTAAAAAGTGGACAGAAATGTAAACAGCATAAATAGAGAAAGATGGGAACTGTGCAGTGATTTCCTATTTTGTTCCCCTACCAACTTGGAGAACCTGTAGCCCAATCTGAGCAAAACAGAAAGCTGTCTTTCTAGGCCTCATCTGATATTACCCTGTCAGAGGCCTGTCCAGTGAAATAAGTCACATTCTTCTTCTAGATTTGCCAGCCTTTGATACTCATAGATATTCTTACTGGACCTAAAAATTGTGTGTGTGTGTACACACATACATATGTGCAAACATAGTAAAACATGAAAGGCATGATCAAAATGAAAGCCCTATGTACCCACTACCCAGCTCCAGAAGCAAATTAACCAGTACTTGTGAAGCCCCCTGTGTGTACATTCAGGTCTCATTCTCTCCTCTTGCCCAAGAGATGACCACTACCCGTGAGCTCATCGTTCCTGTGAGCTATGGGTCTTCCACTCTGATTTTCCACCGCTCTACTCCAGGTGGTCCTGGTGGGTCTGTCAGTCAGAGAACCCCACTCCTGTCATAAAGGTGAGCACATACCTCAGTCTGCAGGAATGGGTTTGAGAATGAACATGTGGACTGAGCCAGGCCAGATGCGATGTGGATATGAGTAAACAACGCTGAGGATTGTGCAGTAAACCATCTGCCCACAGATGGCAGCACAAGCCACATGGAAGGTTATGGAGCAGAAACTCAGGCTACAGAGGAAAAGCGTGACCAAGATGAGAATAGTTGAGTTTTATCCAAGGGGAGCTCCATTGCTGACATTTGCTCAATTCAGGCGCACTGAGGATGCTGCCACTTAAGAGTTCTCTGATGGAAGTGCGGAAAGGCAGTGCTACTTAAAAGTGGTCTGTGGATCAACAAGCATCGCCCAGGAGTTGGCTAGAAATGCAGATTCTGGTGTCCTATCCCAAACCTGAGTCAAAGTCTTGTCATAGAGCCCGGCAACCTTTTAACAAGCTTGCATGTGTCTCAAATGCATACTGAAGTTTGAGAAGTGCTTTGCTGCATGTTGGAATCACCTGGAAAGATTTTAAATTTCTTTGTGCCCAGCCTATGCTTGTGCGTGCAGTCACTTCAGTCGTGTCCTACTCTTTGGTACCCTATGAACAGTAGCCTACCAGGTTCCTCTGTCCCTGGGATTCTCCAGGCAAGAATGCTGAAGTGGGTGACCATGCCCTCCAGGGTGTCTTCCCAACCCAGGGATTGAACCTGCTGTTCTTTGCATTGGCAAGCGGGTTCTTTACCACTAGCACTACCTGGGAAGCCCTCAAGGAGTAGCAGTGCCTTGAAATCTCCTGTTTGTGGTGATGTTCAAGCTAAGCTAATTTCCAAGCCCCTTTTAGGTGGTGTACTTTCAATCTTCAAATTTTTTCTTTTTTTAACATTTATTTTTTAACTGAAGGATAATTGATTTACAGAATTTTGTTGTTTTCTATTTACTCTTAATTTATACAGTTGGTTCTTGTTATTCATGGTAGCCATGTTCTGTGAAGTCAACATGAATACTGAATTAGCAAATTCTGTGCTATTGCTCCTAGTGAAATAACAGGTTGGATTCCTTTGAGCCTCTGGTCACACACTTTTATCAACAGATCAGTACATAACCTTGTTTTATGTGTGTTTCTGTTTAAAGACATTTAATATACACTGGTAATTCATTAATACTGAACTTATGACTGACAGCAGTTTAATTCATATCTAAATGAAGCTTATCACACTTTCTTCATAAGGCACATCACAGCCTTCTTATGCTTAGGAACACTAGCCAGCATACACTGAGGGGACATTTTAAAAAGTGAAATCAATGAAAAGCACAAGAATTCAGAAAGCATAGCACAAAACAGACCGCAAGGAGACCAGTTTTACAGTGTGAGCTGAAGCAAGAAGGCAGAGTGGCCCCTTGTTTGACTTCAACTGGGAAGATGCGTATCAGGCAACAAATATTTCCATGGCCTTGTGTGTGTCCACAGTGACCAGGAGAGCACCACTGTATTGGTTTTGGGGTTACAGACAAATGTGCAAATAAATGCAGAATCCATAAATAATGAGGGTGGGCTGTTATAAAGTGACCTTTCAGCCTTGCTATGCACAGAAGCAGAGGTAGATGGAGATGTGACCTGATAAATTTTGTTGTCTTTCTCTCCAGAATATATCCAGAATCTAACCATTTACCCTTGCAGGGACTCTGGACCACACCACCATTCTCTCTCTACTTGGACCATCACTGTAGTCTCTGCTGCTTCAGTCAGTTCTCAGCGCGGCAGCCAGAGTGATCCTTTGAAAATGTGATTGTGCTGCTGCTTTGCTTAAGCTCTCCAGTGGCTTCTTTTCTTGCCCAGTAAAAGCCAGGTTCTCTACACTGGTTTCCAAGGTACCCCATACTCTGGCCCCTCCACTGCCTTCTCTTGCACCTTGCACTCCCTCACTCTGTGTTCATTAGATGAGCCCCCTGTTCCTTGAAGTACCAAGCTGTCTTCCATCCCCGGGCCTCTTGCCACTCCCTCTGGCTCGGGACTGCTCTTCCTCTGGGAGCATTGGTATGGCCCACTCCTTCATGCAGGTCTCTCTTGGAATATAGCCTTATTTGGCTGCTTCCTTATTTGGCAAGAAGGGCTTGCCAAGTGGCGTTAGTGGTGAAGAACCTGCCTGCCAATGAAGGAGATGTGAGAGACACGCATTTAGTCCCTGGGTCAGGAAGATCCCCTGGAGGAGGGCATGGCAACCCACTCCAGTAGTCTTGCCTAGAGAATACCCCGGACAGAGGAGCCTGTCGGGCTGCAGTCCATGGCGTCGCAAAGAGTCAGACACGACTGACAGCACACACTACAGAAGAGCAGTCTACCCCCCACCCACTCACATGCTCCCTCTTTCTTGCTGAGTTTTCTCGGTAGCACTCAACACTGTCTGGCCTGTTTACTGTCCGTCTACCCACTGGAATATTAGCTTCCAGGGTGGGATTTTAATTCAACAGCTCTGTTCCAGTATCTACAACAGAAACTGGCACATATTCAGCAATAAGTAAATATTGATGAAGGAAGTGAATAGTGGCTCTTGACACAGTAGAATGAAACCCTGAAATCCACCCCTTTTCCATCCAGCTCAGTAGAAATGGTGTGTTTTCCATATTCTGACTACCTCTTCAACACTTGCTTAAAGCCGTGACAACTGCAAAGACTGTAGTGTATAAGAGAGCCTAGCACATTTTATCACCATGTTAGGAGCAAGTCTTCAGAACATCACCCAAACGGTGGAGAAACTTAAAACATCATTAAAACATCATTTAAAACATTAAAACTTCACCCTTTTGTTGAAATCATTTCCTACTTTAGTTGGTGGGGGACGGGGTGGGGGCAGCAGGGACTATTCTATAACTGGGTTTTTTTCCTGTTCTCAGGCTGACCTAGCCTAGATTCTCTCCCAGCCTCTTTTTCCTTTGTTCTGTGGCATATTTTTAGCCCTAGGTTGCAGTCCCTGGTTCCTGATGATGCATCCCAAGCGTAAGCCTAGCGATCCTCATCTGAACAGAGGTGCGCCACAACGGCAGGCGTTTCATCCTCTCAACTGGGCGGGATTCGTGGGTTCTCACTGGGGCACTGCTGGTACAGGAGCACCTTAGATGGAAACAACCAAAAAGCTGAAAGTTTTCAGTCCTGAGTCAGTTTAAAATCAAAATCTTGAGTTGATTTCATTTTGGTGACTTACAAATCATTTTTAAAAGTAACTCGTGGGAAAAAAGTCATATGTTCCTGCATATAATCTTACTGCTGGTGCTTTTCTTAATCAAAAAATAAGTCTGAAATCTCTACAGTCTAGCACTTTGAAAGTTTCATGAAAGTATTTGTGTTACCAGTGCAAAAATATTCTGCATCCTGAAAAATAATCAGAAAGTGGATTCATTTCTTTATTTCTTCGTATTTACCATATTCTTGGCAAGTTTGGGTGATGGGGACTCATGGGTGAGTAAGACATGTCCTCAGTTCTTTTTTTAAAGTTGAAGTATAGTTGATTTTTATAATGATTAAGGGGTACAGCAAAGTGATTCAGTTACATATATGTATGTATACACATATATTCTATTTCAGATTCTTTTCCATTATAGGTTATTACAGAATATTGAATATAATTCCTTGTGCTATATACTAGGTGCTTGTTGTTCATCAGTTTTATATACAGTCGTGTGTATATGTTAATCTCAAATTCCCAATTTACCCCTCCTCCTGTCCTCGGTTTTTAATGTTCAGTCTTGCAGGAACAGCAGGCCTGTCATCAACTACTTAACAATGGGGAGAAGACGCTAGACTCCAGGTGACTACACTCGGGAGTGAAGGCAGAAGGAATTGCTTGTGTAAGAGTCTGGCAGTGGGAAAGCTTCACTTTTTTATGGAAAACCCGCCTCTGAGCCGAGCTAGAGCATATCTTGTCAGGGGGAGAAGAGGAACCACAAGAGATGAGGTCGGGCATGTGCACTCAGGAGAGGAGACAGCTTCACAGATCTTGGAGCCTGTGCTCAATACAATGCAAAGGCTGCTGAGATTAAAAGAGAAACTATTACACCCTTAATTCTTGGAGTCCAGAAGATGGATTAAGTGAGAAGAAACATAAAGCAGGGAGACCAGTCAGGAGGCTATT